TCTCTCTCTCTAATAATGAATTGAAATGTTGTCCAGAATTATATGGAATGAATCAAAGGATGGGAAAGTTAATGGACTTAAATCGCTTCGACAACACTTTCTTCGGACTAATGGATGACTTGATGTTAGGAATGAAACCACACGAGAGAATGGCATTGGAAACGACATACGAGGCCATTATGGACGCAGGTATGGGTCGGACTGGACCTATAATCAGTCCAACTTTGAAATAACGTTAAAATCTACATCATCTTTGACGTTATTCATTTAAAATTACTATATTCATTGTGATTCTCAACAAATCAAATATTGTGAATTAAGGGAACAAATAATTGTAGTACAGTATTCAGTTTTATAGCAGGTTTTTAAGCAAAAAAGTGTATCAATGTATTTATCATCGTAGAATTTTGGGAGCTCCCCATATCAAGGTGAGACCCCCGCCGAAAGACGGGAGTCAGACCCTGATTTCGGGAGATTCCCGGGCAACCGGAAGCTTCTGGCAACACTAGGCCCTGGGCATTCCTTGACTAGACATACGTCATGTTATTTGTATAACATGTTAATCAGTACAATTTCTCTCTCCCTCCCCCTCTCATACACTGTAGGTATAAGTCCGGAGAAATTGCGGGGCAGTCGACGGGTTGGGGTATATGTCGGCACTACTGTCTACTCAAACATCGAGAGTCTGCTCGAAGAGATACAGCCGGACGTTATGCCAACGATGGAAGTGCTATCAATGATGAACTCCATTACAATCAACACTATGGCGGCCAACCGACTATCCTATGTGTTTGACTTCAGGGGCCCGTCGATGACCATCGACACCGCCTGCTCGGCCTCTCTCAGCGCGCTCAATGTGGCCCTCAATGACATCAAACTGGGTATAATATAAACTAGCGATACATTTAATAACTTAAATGTACCTGGGAATTTTATTCATAATAACTACGCGAAATTAAACATTAAAAAATTTAAATTAATTATGACATTACACGCCGTGTTTAGGTAATATCGATTACGCGGTGGTCGCCGGCATTCACACAACACTACAACCGCTGGCCATTCAGATCGGACAGAAGGGAGGCATTCTCTCCCCGAGGGGTCAGTCCTGTCCTCTCGACGAGTCGGCCGATGGCTTTGTGAAGGCAGAGGCCGTGTGTTGTGTACTCTTACAGCGCCGGCAGTCGGCCTGTCGTGTGTACGCCAGCGTCCGATCGGCCGGTATTAACAACGACGGCAAGAAGACTATCGGTATGTTTTGCCCCTCCAGTGAGAGTACGCCAGCGTCCGATCGGCCGGTATTAACAACGACGGCAAGAAGACAATCGGTATGTTTTGCCCCTCCAGTGAGGCTCAGGAGGAGCTTATGGTCGACACCTATACCAAGGCTGGCATCGATCCCCTGGAGCTCACATATATTGAGGCCCATTTAACAGGCACTAAGGTATGCGTGTATTGTATAATATCATATTATTCCGGTATGGGGTATATGACACTTGGTCGAATGACATTTGTTCGAAAAAGTTAACCTAAAATAAAGATGTAACTAGTTAAACCAACAATCTAAAACAACCTGACTCATATTAACTTAATTAATAAGAATATCAACAATTTTATATATTTTAATATGTTTAAACAAATGTCTTTCAAACAATCTCCTGTATTATTTAATATTTAACATTTAAGTTCATTAATGATTTGCATACAAATTATAGGTGGGAGATCCGGCTGAAGTGCTGGCCATATATCGAGCCTATTGTGAGCGCACGGGTCGGACACAACCCCTGCCGTTGGGAACCCTGAAGAGCAATATGGGTCACTCGGAGGGCGCTTCCGGTCTAACGTCACTCATTAAAGTGATGATCGCTTTTGAAAATGAATGCATTCCTCCGAACCTTAATATTAAGAATCTTAAGCAAGAGATCAGACAATACTGTCCGCCATTATTGCCGGTCACACAAAAGCTTAAGTATAAGCCGGGTATGAGTTAATACACATCTATTAGATTTAATGGTATTTTATAATTAAATGTTATCTCACATAAGGTTTGGCTGCAGTGAACAACTTTGGTATCGGAGGAGTGAACGATCACGTGATCGTTGAGCCCAACCCACGGGTGCCGAGCGGTGACAGCCATAGACTGTGCGAACCGATGGCCCGATTGGTGT